AATGAGATGTCGATTAGAAAAAGTTCGCTTTCTCGTAGCAGAAAGAAGACATTACCGACTAAGTGAGAACTTTTATTTTATTTTTGCTACTTTCTGATCAAAGAAATGTCTTGAAAAGCAATTGTCGCTATTGTTTTCTTAACGGTGATCCCGGCTCTAATTAAACGAATCTGTGGAACATAGCGAGCGCCGCTCTATTCATATACAGCTGATCTTGGATGTCATCACAGCTGGTACAGTGACTTGCAGTCTCGCATTACTACAAACAAGTATATTTAATAACAGAAAGACGATATATTTTTTCTTTTCTTTTACAATAAGGTTTACCCTTTACAAGGCCCGGAGAGAACTCGTGGTAGAGAGTTACATTAAGGGGTAGTTTATACAGATAGGAGGGGAAGATAACGGTTAACCCTAGATTTGAACAGGTTAAGATCGGAGAAACATATTCATGAGAGTCGGTTCAACAGGGCTTGCGGGAAGAAGCTGTTAGAACTTGTTACCGATAGAATACGAATAGAAGGTCAGTAGTTTGCGACAAAATATATAGCATAGTGGATCGTAAACGTGAAGGGTCGACCTGGCGTAACCAAGGAATGCAGCTCGTCCGAGTACGCTCCATTGTCGGCCTGATCTGGCTCTTGGAAAATTAGAGGATAGCATGAGGAATTGCATTGTTTACATTATTCAGCCTGTTATCTTAATCTCCACTGCCATATTCTTACAGCGGTAGTAAAATGACTGAAACCGAGGAGCCATATATGGGCCAATAATAATATTGCTTATTCTTATTTGGATTTTATCAAGGACCGTTAGATAAATAGCAGGAGGTCCGGGCCATATGGGACAACAATTTTCTAATCATGGGCGAATAGTAGACTGAGAGATATGTAAGATGGATACTGGAGAGAAAAATATTTAACACGACACAGTGAAACAACAATTAGCAGCTCACCTATAAATGGATTCAATATAGTCTTTCCACTTCCTGTCAGCCGACCGCGTTATCCCGTAAATTCAACATGGAAGTCAGAGGGTCTCTCAGATGAATATTAGAGAGAAGTTTAGTTTTGGAGGCGATAAAATTATCAAATTATCCTTTGTTCCAGTCAACAACAGCCTGAAGGTCATTTTAGATATCGTTTTAGATATCAGTTTTAGATATAAGGTCACATATCTGATATGTGACCTTATCAGACCGATCAGACTGAGTCAGGAGTAAATTTTTGTCTCATCAGTGTAAATACAAAGTTCACAGCTGATTCCATCATTAATAAAGATTAAAAACAAAATAGAACCAAGAATGAAGTCCTGGAGATACCTGCATTAGAACGATTAAGATGATTATGGGTCTCACGACACAGGACTTCGTACAGAGTATCCTTATATCTCAACGTTGTGAGGCATTTTAAAGCACTCTGATACTGGAATCTCTACGCAACAGAACGACATATATTTGAAAAAATCTATCAAAGGTGATAAAAACTGTATCACTTAGTAAGGTTTAACGTTTTTCTTTCCCTCCCATTCTCAATTCTGCTAACCAGTTACACATCTTGTTAGATAGTTTACTCGTTGTTACACCGACTTCTTTTGCCATTAATATATTGTGTGAGTTTCAAATTCTCTAAGCCCTATTTCCTCGTTAGTTGTCACAAAAATGTCAATTGTATCTTTCTCATTCTATGTATACGCATACTTTATGTACGAATTATACTTGAAACCTCCTTCTTTCTTACATGATCCGTCCATGGTATTCTCAGCATCGCTCTCTAGAACCCCATCTCTTTTGCCTAGTCTTTATCTGTGAGAGCATTCACCAGCATAGAAGGAATGATAGATACATAACAGTTCAGCACTCTTTTCGGTGTTTCTAATGAATTATTTTCTGTTTCTTTATAGTTTAAATTTTGGAAGGCAAAGCGCTATGCCCACACATCTTCGGATTTCTGTACTATCCCTACAATTCTTGAAACAGGGGTAATACCTGATCTACAAAAGTTAAATAAGGGAACAAATGATTGATTGCTTCATTCGTTTTCTATGGTTTATCAACCATTTGCAGGTTATTTAAAGCCAGAAAACGTTTCCAGGTTGTAACATTTTTTGGAGATAATTATGTATTTATTGATAAAAGTTTTACTAATTAACCCATAGCTGGGGGAGAAGAGATGGATTCACACTTTTTCTCAGGGATATTTGCGCGTAAGTGAATATAATGAACTCAACTGGAATTGGAACTCGGATCTCTGAGTAATAATTTCGAACCATTATCTATTAAAACCACCTCACATCCAATCTTATAGCTCTTGGTATTCCTAACCGGTCACCCTTCTAGATAGTGAGCAGGCTCGGCGTAGCTAAACTTCCGTGATCGTTCGGGTACCGCTGCTTCAACGTGGTGTGGTTGTAAACTCGAAGTGAGATGTGTGAGTTGAAATTTGACTTAAGAATGTCGCGACAGTTTTAAATAAAAAGAAATTGAAAAGAAGAAAAAATATCTTAACAATTTCCATAAATCTGTCTATTTTCACTCAGAATAAACATCGACGCTAAACATCTATTTTAAAATTGCTTTTAGAAATATCTTAAATAGCATTAGGTTTCTGCTTCGTTCCGTTGAAAATTTTTTTTTAAATATCGAGCGTTAATGTGAGTTTAATCCACAGAAACTAGAGTGAAACTTTGGTTCACGAATTTAATTCATTACTGAAGGCCTTTCGTAACCAGAAATGTTCGTAAACCGAAACTATTTTTCCAATAGGAATCAATGTATAATGGATTAATTCGTTCCTGGTCCCAAGATGATGGCTTAAATAAATTTTACAACAGTACTTTGTGCACAAGTTTATACACAAAACTAATGAAAGAAAAAAATAAACAAGCCTAATACTAAACAGATAAAATATAGACGAACATTTTATTTTTACCGTGCCTGTAAGTAGGAGAGTTGATGGCGTACGTAGAAAAGGAAAGAAAAAGATGTTATTGTTTGGAAAAGAGAAGGAAAGACATGATCGTCTCATTATAAGAATAGTTGATTTTTTTGCCATATGAAAGTAAGTAGGAGGAGACAATATCATCAGCAGTTATTTTTCTCTTAGTTTTTCTTTTTTATTTACTAGTATCACCGCTAACTTTCTTTGGAACCATGCTTCAGGACTAATGGAAAGAAAAAAAAGGCACAGTACAATAAAATTAAGAATGAAAAGCACAGCACAACACACGAATGGATACAACATGGCGGCAGACTCAGAAATGATTCCGTTCGGGTTAACTCGATTCGGCTCGATCCAGGAATGTTGTTCGAGAACCGAAATTTTGTTCGATAACTGAGACATTTTCATCTCGAATATTCTGTTCGAAAACCGATTTGTTCGACATGTGAGACGTTCGAGGACTGAAGTTGCTCTATATATTTTCTTTATTATATTTCGATATTTCGGTTTGTTTATTTATGGACGTCTTTCTTCAAAAAATGATTTTCTAGTGTTTTGCTCAGCTAAATTATATATAAATTATATATATATATATATATATATATATATATATATATATATATATATATATTATACACCAAACTTATTAAAGAAGTAAACAAACCGAATACTAAACAGATAAAATATTGACAAACATTTTAAATTTACAGTACTTGTATGTAGAAGAGTTGACAGCGTAAGTGGAAGGGGAAAGAAAGAGATGTTATTGTTTGGAAAAGGGAAGGAAAGACATGATCGTCTCTTTATTTATAAGAATAGTATAGATGGTTGATTTTGTCATATGAAACTAAGTAGAAAGAGACAATATCATCAACAATTGTTTTTCTCTTAATTTTCCCTTTTCTTTTACCAGTATCAGTGCTAGCTTTCTTTGGAGCCATGATTCAGGACTAATGAAGAGAGAAAAAAGGCACAGTACAATAAAATTGGAAAAGAAAAGCACAGAACAACACACGGATTTATACAATATGGCGGTCGACTCACGAATGATTCCGTTCGAGTTAACTCGGTTTGGCTCAGTTTGGTAATGTCGTTCGAGAACCGAAATTTTATTCGATAACCGAGACGTTTCATCTCCAATATTCCAATATTCATTCTCCATTATTGTAATGGAAAACCCATTTGTTCGACAGGTGAGACGTTCCTATCTGTTATCGATGTCACATTTTCTGTCTTCTATTAAAACGGTTCCCAAATATTTAGATTTTCGGGTTTCATTGTGCCACCTTCCATTCGTTGGCGATTCCTCTTGCTGACAACATTACATTCAGCCAGGTTTAGTCCTTCAATCACCACAGATCAACTCCTCTTCGATCAAATGTTCCTGAATCACACACTAAGTAGTTTTCGCTTTTTTCCTGACACACATTGTGATGTTGCAGTAGCAAGAAGTGTTAGTGTATTTAGCTACACCCCCATGAGGGTTGAATATGGCACATGGCCGGTTTAACGTGGGTTCTCCGAGCCCGTAGGCTCGGCCAAATATATTCTCTTTCGAACCCGTATCAACGCATTCAGGAGCAGTCTACCACCCCGAACGTGACTCTGCCCTTCGGAGGAGCCTCATCCGGGTTCCTCTCCGCACGAGCAAGGAGTGTTAGTTCCAACCGGCATAGAATGACTGCAATAGAACATATCCCAGTCCGAAATTTAGATATAAAATACAGATGCATGCTGGGATTTCTTCCTAGCCAATAAGATAGGCCATGTCTCGTTTTGATCTGACTGATTTGTGTTCTTTCTTGGATTGAACTTCGAACGTTGCGATAACTGGTCTGTCTCGGTTTTTGTTTGTTAATACCATTCATAGTTTGTTAACTTTTTACCTTATTACTGTTGCCGGGTATATATTGTTTGTTCAAGGTTATTTTTGGTCGTTTCATTCTCTTGTTATTGTTTATCGCAACCGTTGTCAATTCTGTTAGTTGGGTATTTCAGCCAATTACATTTAATCATGGTCAATTACTCTACAGGAAGATTGTATAGTTTCTTGTATATTCAATGTGTTGTGTTATTTCTGTTAATTCAAGCTCCCAGCAATTGTTTTTATCATCTATCGGCATTGAATGCGTAATTGGAATGGAACTCTATAACGAACGCTCGAAGACTGGGTAGTTTTAATGAATGACTACCAATAAATTGCCTTTAGTAATCAGGAGTGAAAATGTATTTTCACTTGCCGACGATCTGTTTGTGAAATTTTAATTACAAGATCGATTTTTCATTCGCTCTAATTGTAATTTTCTTTTGTCCCTTGTTTTTCGTTGGGATTTATTTTTTTATTCCTAATTTTTTTATTATTATAAGTCATTATTTTGCTTCAAATTACTTTCTTTCTTTTTTCTTTTATTGAATTTGTTTTTCGTTCTTGGCATTTATCTTCTATTCACGCCATTTTTCTTTCTTTCTTTCTTTCTTTCATCCCTTTTTTATCCAGTCTTTCTTTCTCGTTCGTCTCATCTTTCTTTTCCCTTTTCTTTCTGTCTTTTCTTCTCATTCGCTCTTAATTTATTTTATTTTTCCTTCTTTTCCTTCTTCTTTCTACACATGTCATTTGCCTTGTATTTCTTTATTTCACCCTCTGTCTAGCGTCATTTTGGTCTTTCTACACTTTCATTCATTAATTCATTCATTCGTTCAATTTCTCTATTGTTTCTGTCATTATTTATTCGTTGAAATGATTTCTGTCTTTCTTACTTTCTACATTTATTTACTTATTTGTCTCACAATTTCGGCAATTATTTTTTTTTCCTTAATTCGTTATGCTTCCATTTTTTTTTCTTCTCGCTGTCAATTGTTATTTCTTTCTTTTAATTCATTGATCTTTCATTCTCAATTTTCGTTTTCTCCTTGCCAAGATTTCTTTGTTTCTTTTTCATTCATCTGTCTGTCTTTCATTCTCAATTTTCTTCTTCTCTTTGTCAAGTTTTTTTTTCTTAATTTTTCACCCATCTCTCCTTCATTTCATTCTCATTTTTTTTCCTATCGTCAAGTTTTCTTTTGATCTTCCTTTTTTATTCTTACGTGTTTATTTTCATCCTCATTTTACTTCATTTCTTTGTCAAGTTTTATTTTTTCTATCGTTTGCATTCATCTCTCCTTTTTTTTCATTCTCATTTTCATTCTTCTCTTTGCCAAGTGTTCTTTTTCATTCATATGTCTTTTCTTTCACTCTCATTTTCACTCCTCCGTTTTGTTTTTCTTTATATAATATCTCTCTAGCATTTGTCGAGTTAAGACATCAGTATGTGACTACCATATATATATATATATATTTATATATATATGGTGCTATGAGCAAATTACCGCAAAAAGTTGGAAAAGAGATGCTTGGCATACACTCCAAAATCTCTAATACTAACATTTTAGTGTATTAGGGTGTCAATCTGAGGACAGTGCGAAGGATTCCGAAAAAGCTGGATGAGTCTAATGGTGATTACGAAGGTTTTTGGAGTGATCAATAGTGGTGGCGAAATTATGCGTCCATTCATGTTCTCACAGTGCTTCAGACTCAACACGGTTTCCTACATAAAGTACCTTGAGGAGGTAGTGTTGTCTAAGTCAAGATCTGGAAGACCTTATGTTTCGCAACAGGGCTCCACAACATACCACATAAGCAGAAAATCCCAGTCTGACTGTCAGACAATTTCTTCGACCACGTCACCCCTTACATCTGGTTACCTAACTCCCCAGACTGCAACCTCCTTGTGTGGGGTGCATTTGAGCAAGGGACAAAAAAAACAAAACACCAAAGATGAAACGAAGGCGGAGTTACGACAGTTCAGAATAATTATCGAAGTTTCCGAAATTATGTGGTGGTCTTGGTTGAAGTCAGTGGCGATTTTACTGAATTAATTTACTTTCTACTACAGTGTAACCCGGATATAAGAGACCCGGATATAAGAGAAACCCGGATATAAGAGAGATTTTCTCTGGCCCCAAATTAGAGCCTGTGTTAATGTATATATAATGGAGCAAACCCGGATATAAGAGAAACCCGGATATAAGAGACTTCTTCTCCGGTCCCGACAACTCTCTTACATCCAGGTTACACTGTATTTCAAGATATTTTTTGTGTAATTTTGATAAATATATCTGTTAAAATGAGATGTATGTGTTATTTTCATTTTTGCGTCATTTCGTCGACAAATTATCCATCGCACAGTGTGTCGCTTCCCTCTGTCTTTTTCTACAAATACTTTCATGGTAACTACTCCGAGGAGCTGCTTTCGCTGGTTCCCAGACTTCATGAATTTCAGCGTTCTACTAGGCTGGCATCTCGCACACATCCTTTCACTGTCAAAACTGTTAAATGTAGCCGTCTCTTCTACTCCAATAGTTCCTTGTCTCGCACCTCTTTCCTGTGGAGTTCCCTCCCCTTTTCCTGTTTCCCTGATAGCTATAATCTCCAACTATTCAAATGTAATGTCAATCGACATCTCCAGATGCCCTGATCTATCCCCTATCCTTGTCTTCATCCTTTCCTCTATCACTCCTCTTTGTTCTCGCTTCAACTCTCTGTAAAGCCTTGGGTGCTAGTGGCTTCCCGCCTTACTTGGGGTGAAACGCTAATATATATATATATATATATATATATATATATATATATATATATATATATATATATATATGTATGTATGTATGTATGTATGTATGTGTTTCAATGAATTTCCCCATGTTGAAAATAGCTACTATGGGTTTTAAGCAACCCTTTGATGGAAACTCAACTGTGGATAAGAACTCACTAATGACAGTGTAACACATTTTATCTATGTTGACACTAATGTGTGTGTTAAGCCACATCTTGTGCAGATTTCTACAATTGATTCCCCGTGTTTAAAAATGTATAGCCAATAGTAGTGAAACTGCAGCTTAATAACTGAGAAATTATTCTCTCCAATGGTGTTATTGGGCTCCCTGTATGTAATGAAATCTTTGTGCAAAAATCTGATTAACTCGCATTATTTTCGCAGTTCCCCAGTACATTGATTGGAATTAAGAAGCGTACTTAATTTAGCCTTGTTCTTATCTCTTTCAAAAGGTTCTGGTTTGGTTTGGTTTGGTTTGGTTTACGGTATAGCAACCACAATGAGATTATTTAATGCCAAAAGTATTTTAATGGATGGTAATATTTTTTCTTCAAAAATGTATTGCTGGTAATATATTTTTTTTTAAAAAAAAGATGTATTGCTTATAATAGTTCTTTCCTTCAAAAAGTTATTGCTGGTAATTTTTTTACAAAACCGTATTGCTGGCATTAAAACCTATTTTTACGTTTTTATAGTGTTTGACCCCAGTTTGAGGTTAACTATTTGCCCACAGCTGGGGCCTTCACCCGTACAACCAACTCGGGTCAGGATGGATCTAAGAACACTAGCAATTACGAGATGGTTCCGCACTCCTCAAAGGCTCCTGAGCAGACGCCTTGCTGTCGAATGTAGTTTATCGTCTTACCCAGGACTTGGATGAGGTTTATCGTCTTAATCAGGACGGGGATGAGGTTTATAGTCTTGCCTAGGGACGTGAGGTGTATCGTCTTGCCCAGGACGTGGATGAGGTCTTATCGTCTTGGAAGGTTTATCGTCTTAATCAGGTGGATGAGGTTTATCCAGGACGTGGATGAGGTTTATCGTCTTAATCAGGAATGGATGAGGTTTATCGTCTTAATCAGGACGTGGATGAGGTTTATCGTCTTAATCAGGACGTGGATGAGGTTTATCGTCTTGCCCAGGACGTGGATGAGGTTTTACCCAAGACGTGGATGAGGTTTATCGTCTTGCCCAGGACGTGGATGAGGTTTATCGTCTTGCCCAGGACGTGGATGATGTTTACCATCTCACCCAGGACGTGGATGAGGTTTATCGTCTTAATCAGGACGGGGATGAGGTTTATCGTCTTGCCCAGGACGTGGATGAGGTTTTACCCAAGACGTGGATGAGGTTTATCGTCTTGACAAGGACGTGGATGAGGTTTATCTTCTTACCCAGGACGTGGATGAGGTTTATCGTCTTGCCCAGGACGTGGATGAGGTTTATCGTCTTGCCCAGGACGTGGATGTGGGTTTATTATCTTAAGGACAGGACGTGGATGAGGTTTATCGTCTTGAGGTTTATCGTCCCAGGACGTGGATGAGGTTTCAAGGACGTGGATGAGGTTTATCGTCTTAATCAGGACCAGGACGGATGAGGTTTTTACCAAGACGTGGATGAGGTTTATCTTCTTACCCAGGACGTGGATGAGGTTTATCGTCTTGCCCAGGACGTGGATGAGGTTTATCGTCTTGCCCAGGACGTGGATGATGTTTACCATCTCACCCAGGACGCGGATGTGGTTTATCGTCACACCCAGGCTGGCAAAAACGTTCTTTTAATTTATCGCACTTCTCTGTGAGGGTGCCAATTGTTGCATTGATTATGCTTCTGCTCCATTGGATTACATTGAAGAGTACGTTTCGAATCATTGCGTCTCATTCAATGGAACAAAAAAAATAAATGCGTAAACTCGTATCACAGGAAACAGGAAAATTATGTAAGTATTTGATATTATCGTCTCGTTTAAACGCTATTACTTGGCCGTTGTCGATATGAAATTAAGACTGAAAATTATTTAGGCTTCAAGAATCGAAATTTGTTTTTGTACGAAAAGGTTGTTTAAGATTCCGTGTCTCTTTTTGAATTTGATATTAAATTAAACATAATTCGAATTTGATGGTTGTTATAAATAAGATATTATAATGCATAATGTTAATTTAATTACAATTAACATTTTACTAAGGATGTTAAAACATTTAAAAATTTATGCTTCTTATTAATTCTTCAAACGTTTACAAAAATCAAATATCACTATAATTCTGAGATACATTATTGTATATTAGACGTATATATCTTGGGGATGCCAGGTGCAATGCATTAAATTTTACAAACTCTTGGAAAAGATGTATCATCAAATTTTATGAATATACTAACGTGTCTTAAAATCCCGTACTATTTTTAAGGTTAAATGTCATTAGGTGCCTACCATTTTAACGAGCTTTATTTCAAAATCTGCTTTGATTTTTTTTCAAAGTTATTTCAGCCTGCATCTTGAATACATTGTGAAAACTGGCGTGTTTTACCTTATTTTTGTTACAACTGAAAATGAAAAAAAGAAATAACTTTTTTTTATATTTTTAATACTGAAAATAGGTCGTCCCGTCTTAGGTTACATTCGTCCAACACCACATGATGCGACAAAACTAAAATATTAACACGAAATCTCGACTCATCTACTTCAATATCTTCGGCAGGTCTGGACTCTGATGCGCATGTTACGCATGACGTCCAAAATTTTATTTTTAATCATTTCACCTCTAAGCAAGGCAATAAAGCCACATGAAACGTTGCTGTTAATCTAGTACCGCACGTAACTTCATAGTGTAGGTACCCTAGAGAAAAGTAATATTAATTTTGTAAATACAAAAATCTGTCTTAGTTTCAAGAGGGCGTGGTGGCTGGTCTTCACACTGCCTTATCAAAGGGTTACTGAGTGTTAGAGAATACAAGGAAAAATATTCTTAAGGAGAGAGAACAATAAAAGAAGAGGAATTAAGACGATAGAAAGTAACGATTGACATTACATTTCAATTTTTAAACTTTAGTTTAACTCGGCAGCAAGGAGCCATAAAAGAGTTCCACAAGCAAGAAGTACGACAGAAGAAATCGTTAGCATCTAACCATTTCAACTGTAAAACGATGAAACCTTGCTGTTAATCTAGTAATGTACGTAACGTCATAGTGTAGGTACCCTAGAGAAAAGTAATATTAATTTTGTAAATACAAAAATCGGGCATAGTTTCAAGAGGGTGTGGAAGGCTGGTCTTCACACTGTGTTATCTTAAACTTATCTACCCACTATTCCTAACCAAATCATACAAGAGTAATCCTTACACCAAAACAACCCATTCTTACTTACCATTCTTACTACAGTCACCATAATACCTCAAGTCTCTATGAAGTCATAACTAGTTCCTATATGTACTATTTTTCTGGGAAGAAATAAATATAACAACATTTAAAAATAAGGTTCAATGAATGTTGACAATGAATACAATTGTAAATACAATAAAGGAAAGTTCATCAGAACAATTACCATGAGAGTTTTTATAGAAAAACCACAGGGAAGCTACGTTACGGCGGTGGGGAATGGATTGAAGCCGAGATGCCAGGTCAGGACCAATAATTCTT